ACAAATAAAACTGAATTGAATTGAGTTAAATACTGTTGCCAAAGCCAAACAAAACCATGTCTCATTTTCTCTCACAACATACACTGACATTTGTACTCAAAACACATGAATCATCATCAATATTTTCTACATTGTCACATACTGCAGTTAAATCTATATCTTTCTCTTTTTAACTTTTCTGCTTTATCTTATTTTGCTTGCTGCTCCAACAAGAGCAGAAGAGTGCCTTAAACAGTATGATCCCATGTATTGTTACTGTCTGTCGCTCTCTCTCAGAACAAGTTCGTGAAGAAGCGTCCTCCTCCTCCTGCTAACTGCATTTCCTTGGGGGAAAGTTGTAAATCTCCAGGCAATGTGTGCTGTGATTTCTGTGGCTACTGTCAGTGTCGGCTCTTCAGGACTGTCTGTTACTGCCGAATGGGCAACCCTCGCTGCTGAACAGCCAGCCGCAGCCCAACCCAGCTCCAAGCTAATGGAACAAAACTTCATGCTAAAGCAAACCACAAGTGAACACTGTGAGAGGTGAATCACTTCTAGTCCTTGGTTTGTAACTTTGCCTAAAATTCACTGCATGAAAGCACTTTATCACAAAAGGACTGCACCACAGTGAACTTTCTTAAAATCGTACAGGGTGTACTGCTTATAGCATTTTACGTTGAGCTTTAGCATGCATAAGATATGTTTGCTCAAACAATTTTATATATTGCTTTATTTTTTACACAGAAATACATGAACGTGCAGTATCATACTTTTATTGCAATGGGTCTAATATTTTATGAAACCTTGTACAAATAAAGTTGTTGTAATAACAGTGTTATTGTTTTATTTAGTGCCTCGACGAAAGGGCCAATATAAAACATTTGATTTAAGCTTTTGACTGGAAGAAAGTGATATGAATTCACATATATTTAAAGGAATGACAAAAAAAAGACCAGTCCATGTCTCATACTTTATGACTTAACTGGTCTGCGGGACTTAGGTCTAAGCCCATTGGTTCCTTACTGAGATATACCTTTTTTAAAACTGCTCAAAAATATAAATTTCTAAAAAAAAGGCTCAGCAATTTTCTAAAAGAACTGGGCTCTGTAATTGTTTCCAAACATCACAGTAATAGGATATGTGTCTGGAATGTCTCAAGTTTATCCAGCATTTTCACCTATCCATCATTTATGATCTTGTTTGATAAATACGTGGATTTTCCCATTTCCTTTGGGGATCAGTAATGAAGACAATGATGATGATGAGATTTTAGTGAGAACTGTGGCTTTTTGATTGTTGCTTACATTGGCGTTTATGCAGTCTGAATGATCATCAGGTTGGACTGGAAGGAAAAGGGAAAAAGTCTCTCCTCCTCCGACAACCACCTACGAAGCAACTTTCCTGCAGCTGCTCAGCGTCCAACAACAGATGAGCTGTTACTGAAAAGGTTGAATGAGAGGCTGAATGACAGGGAATAGAGTTAATGTACAGCGGCTACTACCAGGACTTTGACTCAGTTTTGAAACCTCGAGTTTGGCTTTATGCTCGTTGCCATGACCTTTTATCTTATTCCATTACAGTTCTCTTATTACAGCTAGAGAGTTCACTAAAATATGTTTCTGAAAAGATTTTAATTGAAAAATACTCAACGCAGTAACAGAATCTTGATTTATATTTGATCAGAACTGCCTAGTTTGACAGTTTGATCTGAGTTTTGCAGCATACCCTGCTTTATTGTCTATTTACTCTCGATTGAACCATAATTCACAAAATGAACATCATGCTGTATAGTTGAAGACTTGAAACTAGTAATTGAGACCATAAACTCATTAGGAAACCGTTTACTGAGCTCATAAATCAAGTGAGAAGTCAGTAATTTCTCTATCATACTCTATACTATCAGACTTGGCTGTCCGTTTTACATAGACTGCAGGTTTAAGAGTCAGTAGTCCAGAAAGGACAACCCAAACACTGGTTGTAGACAGGGCCTTTGAGGTTTCGTGCCATTTCGCAGCTGCTGTACTTTCTCCCACGCAGTTGGACAGGTAGGGTGAAACACGTGAGTTGTAATCTGCAACTACACATGGGACCTTAAATGTATTAATATAATATAAACATTATACTATTATATTAAGTTACTTTATATGTATTGTCATAATATTATATTAATACAGTACATAGTGCATCTGCAGTGGACCGGTCGATTCAGCCAGTGCCGTTGTGTCAATATATGCTCCTTCCAGCCGGTCTTCTCCAACACGTTCTCCTTGATCTATTTTACTAAAGTTATTGTTATAAAGATTGTTTACATAAAGTGTGGTGTGTGTTCTGTATCATGTAACTTCCTCTTTGGTTAAAAAACTACAAGTCTGACATTCCACAAGTCGCAATGTGCCAATCACAGTGTGATGAGTGATCAGTGTTTCAAAAAGCTGTGTCAATGTTTTGAAAGCTGTTTTTAATGTGTCAATGTGTCAGAAAAATCAGTTTAATGTTTTAAAAAGTACTGTCAATCTTTTAAGGCCAATGTAGTGTCTGGATATTTCCACTTCCACGGTCCTCCAGCTGGTTTTTACATCATAATTGCACACCAGGAGAAGGAGCGCACACGCAGTATAGATATTTATGCAATAAACTGTTGATAAACTGTGTTACTTTAACATTTTCATTTGGGAGTACAAGAAAGAAGTCAGCCCAGAGAGCTCTGTGTCATAAAAAAATAAATAAAAATACTCTTTGCCATAAATAATGACAACAGAATTCACATGAGCTGAGTTCCCAGAAACAACTGGGAGTTTAGTAATAACTAAGCACAATCCAACTCAAACAACTATAATAACTTTTGTCAGTAGAATTGCTGGTAATTATTTGATAATATAATTGAACCAATAAAAAAATCTTTCTGCTCGACACTGTTTCCTGGCTGTTCAGGCCTGTCCTGAAGTGTCTTTTTTTTTTCTTTTTTTTTTCTGCCCTTGTGTGTGTAGACGTATAACACATTTGTATACATGTGAATCTGCAGTGTCAATATTGGAATGTTTTCATTGTATTTTCTAGTGTAAATGTATGTTAAGTAAACAGTTGCTCTGCTGTTGTGAGATTCTGTGACTTTTTCTTTCTGTTTCATGATCCAAAACAAATTTTGACTGAAATAGAGAACCTTCTTTGTCAGTAAATGCTAGAATTTCTGTGCAGACTATGCAGGGGATTTTTTTTTCCTTTTCAAAGCGAGAACTAGCTTATTCTTCTATTTTTCTATACTTGGTAATATTCAATTATTACCACTCACTACACTTTATAACACCGGTTTGGCCTACTTACAACATTATCTTGCTCTCTAATTTATTGCCTATTTTCCATGAAATTTCTTAGAAATTGAAAGGTTACCCATCAGGTCACATTCGTAGAAAATGCAACAGTTTACTATATGTGTTTTTTATTCTTAAGTGTGTGCAAGATTTCTTTTCTGGTTGCCAGATTTTAAAAATTACAACCAAGGAGGATTCACTCCGTTACCTGACTCAGATTGATTTTACTGGCAGTATTGCAACATTCCTCTAGGCCTTCCTTAAGTGGGCTTAAGGACATCTGGTTTGGAAAGACGTGGGACAGAGGAAGAAGGATTATCGCAGACAGCTGGAAGACAGACAGAGATCTGAAAGAATGGGTGGAGGATGCTGAAATACTGACAGAAAGCAGATCACACAGAATCATCTCAGGGTCTGCCATTTTGTGGATGTTTTTATTCAAACTACTAATAGCTGAAAATAGAGAAGATCATGTTAAGATCAATTACATTTACATTTTTATTTAAAATTTGTGATAAAAATGAAATTTGTGTCTTTGAGTAAAAAACTACAGCTTTGGTTCTCCCCAAGTACCTGGGGCAGTAATTACATTACATTACATTACATTACATATATTAAGCAGAGGCTTTAGTCCAACCAGTCCCAAGCGACTTACAATAAGTGCATTCAACCATGTGGATCCAACCCAAGAACTGCAAGAATCATGCAAGTACATCATCTTCCTTAGCTTTGTGCTACATTTTTTAAAACAAAAAGGTTATTATTGGCAAAGGTGCAGTCTGAACAGATGAGTTTTCAGTCCGCAACTGAAGATATGTAGAGTTTCTGCTGTCTTAATGTCAATGAAGAGCTTGTTCCACCATTGTGGAGCCAGGGCAGCAAACAGATGCGATTTTGTTAAGCGGTGGCCGGGACCACCTCAACAAGATGGAGTAGCAAGCCAATTGGCAGTAGAAGAGCATAGTGGACGGATGTATGGTTTGAGTAATGAGCCAAGATTGCTATATGACATGAACTAACGTCACCTAAGGGTCACACCACAGGGGTAGCCAAACTTCCGCTTCAATATCCAGTTGTTTTGTTTTTGCCTTAAATGTTACTGAAATCACAATTTGCTACATGGCACTTGAGAATTCGACACTGTGGCTCAACTCGTTTCTCCTACCAACAGTTTTACAGGAATCTTTCCATAACCCTAGCTAAGTAGATTTAGTCATTTAAACTTAACCAAACACTAACAATAGAAAAGCCATATCACAAATAGACTGGAACAACACAGCTGGGCGACAATTTACTAATCCTACAATCACAACTTCTGACTGACTGACTATATGCAAAAGAAACTTTCAGAAATAACAAACATGCTTCTTTTATTCAGCCATTTAAGTTTGAATATTTTTTCACTTCAGTTAATTTGGCCTCGAATGGGCATGGCAGATACAAAAACATAGTTTTGTACAGGACTCCCCAAATGCAGATTTAAAGCAAATATTATGTGGATAAGTCAAAGTGATGATACAAACACTGTATCCATTATGAGCTGCCTCTATAATCCTGTACTTATTACCAAAATTCATCTTACAAATGACTAAAACAGTTGCTCAATTGAATAAAGTGTGCATAATATTCTGGTTAACAAAGAAAACGCCATTAGCTAGCTAATGTTAGGTTGCTTCAGTTGCACTTTTATACTTTTGTACTTTTATTTAACAGTAGTAATGATACATGAATTGGGAACCGACAGTGTGTGTGTGACTACTGCTGTAAAGCATTACGCACTTGTTCCGACCCAGGGACTAAAAGTTACATCGTGCAGGAACAAGTGTGGGGTTTAAAGTGGGAAAGACAGAGGCACCATTCACCCTATTAGAAGCCATTGTAGCATCAAAATGGCTTTGAAGCTGTTATTTTAGGTTAGAAACATTACCTAATATTGCTTTAAATTGGTCTGGAATGCCACAGACCGGCTGGACTTTTGCTTCAATCTTGCAGCGTATCCAGTGTGTGACCATCAAATGACACTACTCAGCCGTCACCTTTTCACAATTTCATTATACAATTTCCTCATTACACCAGCTGTAATCTGATATCCATTTTCAGTTCCATTTTGACAAAGTGTATGGGTGGAGGAAGAGCCAGACCAACTTGTAGATAAGAAAAACATATGCCAATAAATCAAGGTTTCCTAAACCGTCAAATAATCTGTTTTGTATTGCGTCACAAAGAAGGAAATGACGATAATTGAGCTTGTTAACTTTAGATACTTGGAATTTCCAACCAGTTTCTTACCACCCATAAAGTCATGTTAAACTACCTTCATTCGTTTGTATTCTGATGCAACAACAGTCAGAAGTGGATATGAATGCCACAGCTGTGCATGGAACATCTGCTCCCCCAAAGCAGTAATAAAAGCAGCCTGTTTTTCTAGGAAGACGTCCCTCTGAGAGGAAGAGTCAAACCGGAGGTCTAATCCTGAGGTAGTCTTCCAAAAACCAGCAGAATCCATGTTCGAGAGTTGATGATG